GACGTGGTCGCTGAGTAAAACTAGCTGACAAAGGCCCTTCACCCTGATCCTTGCATATTTCACTTTTATCCTTTCTATATTCCATTCTTTAAAGTATCATTGTGACCTGAGCGGCAATAAGCACCCAGGGCACTGCAACTGTTCCATGAATTCGTAACCATAAAGAAACAACTGTTAGACAAAACGTAGTTAAAAAGGCAGCTTGAAATTAAGGTGGCATAAATAATAAATAAACCTGCCTCTCATCCCCCCCCCCACACACACACTACAGTGGGCGACATCTGTTGGCTGACCCTAGCATTTTCCCCAGCTGTTTCGAAACTTCAGACACAAGGCTATTCGAACCCTCACTGTGGCTGGGTAGTGGACACGACTTTTGTGCACGATAGTACATCTAAACTATTGTTCACATTGTATTTCAATACATACCTGCACAAGTGCACATACCGATAATAGTTTTCTTCTAATATTTTCAGGGGTAACTTTAATATTAGAATGCTTATGTTGATGCCACACTACTATCCAGTACATACAAGAATTTAGCAGCTGAATTGACCAAACTTTAATTTTAACACTTAAATTTAGGCAGCAAAATTTTTATGAGGTGCAGAGATAACCTCAAAAAAGCTAAAAAAAAAAAAAGTCCAGGACTAATTAATTTACCTACATATAGTAAACCCTCTCAATAAAGAACTTCTCAATATGGGATATTTCCAATTACTGATGTCCTTTTGTCCAGTACAATTAGCGGACCCAACCAGTAACATCCATTAATGAGAGCCATTGTCCACTATTAAACACATGCTGCAGCTCACCCAGATGCAACGTGGCTGAGCATCCCAGTCGAACAGCCCTCAGGAGAGTGTAAATGAATTGACCTAAAATTATAACAAGAAGTAGTGTAGGAAGCAGTAATGATGATATAATCTCTACCGTATAGCTACTGTCTAAAATTACCTTTATATCTTATGGTTGTGTTTAGTGAAAAATAATTTGTTCATATATTAAAATACATACAAAAAAATTTAAATCACAGACCCAATGAGGGGTATAGAGATGATTATAGTGTGAGTTGTTTATATTCTTTAGAAGTCACCTAAATCATGCATGAGTGCAAAAAAAAACTGCCAATGCTCTGCCAAGTACTGTACTCCTTTTATCAAGAATCGGATGAGTGTCATTTTTAAGTGAAATTAAGCACCATTAAATGACATGAGCATGAAGGAACTACAGTTGAAGAACGGCAGTGAGGGGAAGATCAAACACACGTTTCTCAATGAATCACTCATTACCACAACTTATATAATTCTCTTATAAATCCTTAGTGTTAGTAGATGTTCACTGTTTTAATGACATGAGCAGATGAAAAATGGTTGTGAAATAGAGATTATGCACAAGTCTTTGAATTGTATTTTATTATTATTATTATTATTTTTTATCATTTCACCATTTATCAGCTTACTAGCCATTTGGGACACCTGTAATGCTTGGTAGTGAGGGTCACAGTAGATAACACCCTTCTCATGTGTGTCCAAGCCAAGCACAAGTCAAACCAATGACATGTTTGTGACAGATCTGGGCATTACCACTGTACCAACAACAGTATACAGTACAGTATAGTCTTTTGTGTTTTTTTTTTTTTATGTTTCTATATACAAACAAGTTTCTTTTGAGAGGCGTAGTTGTCAGTAAGACAATATTGTTTGAGGACAATAGATAATGAGTGTTATGATTACAAGTGTACAACTCAGACTGAGCTTGTCTTGGGATGTACAGTATTATTTTGCATGTACACTCGCTGGGGGAAAAGGAAACCCTTCCACAAAGAGACTCCTCCCATTAATGGACAGTAATGGCATAAAGTAGTCCGGTACTGAACTGGGAGGGTTTACTAACCTCATGGATCATGATAAAAAAACATGTCTTATCTAAAAGGTATAGACAGTTTAGTGCATTTACACTATGCTGAGTAATTTTTTTTCACAAGATACTGTACTAACCCTCTCCTATAAATCTGAAGTATAATCTGCTCATGAACAAAATGCTATATAATTTTCAGGCAATTCTTCTCTCCTATAGTCTACAAAAGAATATGGCATATGGCCTTTCCCTCCAACTGATAACAGTAAACCAGGGATTGTAAGTCCAGTAGTGAAAACTGTACATCTACCCTAAACTAACGACCACAAGACTGACTGACTGACTATGGCTGTAAACATCAAACACTAAACTCAATCCTAGAGTTTGAGCAAACAAAAGATTCGTTAACTACTGTACTGGCAATATATCCATCAAACAGAAATAATATTAACTGGAATGGGGCTTATCTAAATTTACATCAACAGGATACATACATGTATATCTATTGCATCAATTACATGGAATAATTTAATTTCCTAATACACACTACATGTACAGTCGCCCACAACAGTCCTGTCGCCTCTCCTGCTGTTCCATGAACCCAAGATTCAGACTTGTGAATCCAAAGCGGTAGACACTAATGCATCATTCTATCCATAAAAGCTTCAGATTCACAAGTTTGAATCTTAGGGTTTGTGGTTTGGGAAGAGAGGCAACAGGACTTTTATGGGTGACTGTCCCAATTTTACCCCCTACAAATTAAATATTACAAGTTCATGAGCTGATCTATCTATCTATCTATCTTTATTTTGATACACTTGAGGGGTGGCCATATATACAGTCTTCCCTAAACAACACTTGACACATACGTCGAAGAATTTTACAAGCTGGTTTGGTTACCACATGGGTGATGCATACACCTCTTGCTTCTACTGAGAAACAACAACACAGGGAAAGACTAAAGACTAACTCAGTAAATACAGTATATGCAAAACAGGAGTTGGAGAGAAACAAAAAAAATACAAAAAGGTTATAACAAACGCATGGAAATAGAATCGTAAAAAAGTATTCATTGGGTTAATGTGAAGTATGATGGCTGATTATCAAATGCCACAGAGAAAACAGGGTAAAAGTGTTCTTCCATGGACAAGAGAGGACAGCCAGTCAATTCCTCATTTACCGGAAATTTAACTCTCACTTTAGGAGTAACAAAATATTTTGCATCTTACTGATTAACTAAGCCAACCTTCCCATCCTTCAACAGTTAATGGTGTTACATTTATTTAATCCCTGACAACTTGTTCCCTCAGAGACTTGAGAGATAACAACATATACACTCACTAAAAAAAATATTCTGCACCCTTAGCTCTGAAACCATCTGCAATGATCACTGCAACAGAAGCCATGATGAGTGTTATCAGATTTTTTGGTCCGATGTCATACTGTATACCGGGTAACCCCGTAAAGGTGCACACTAATATTTTAGTGAGTGTACATTCTTTACAAAATTTTTACACTAATTTTTCATCTTTGCCAGACAAGGACTAACTTTTTAATTCAAATTAGGAATATCAATGTTTATTATTACAAGTTATAATTTACCTAATTGAACCAAATTCACAGGAGCATAATAGTGGATTGATCCTGAAATACCCTTTTATAACAAAGTCAGGCTCAAGGAACTTCATATAGCCTACAAAACTTAAGGGTTGAATCCCAGAACACCAACTTGTATAACTGGGATCTAGAATCAAATCTATAAGAAATTTGCTTATCCTTCACCCTCAAACCAGACCTAATGAGGAGTAAGGTTGAAGATTTCTGTTGCTGAGAATAAGCACAAACACTGCTGAACTGCTTTTGTGTTTGACATTAGATAGAAGATGACGTCATGAGGAACAAACCCAAGGATCCAGATCACCTCAGCACCCATAAAAAATAAGAGGAAGGAGGGATGCTCAGTTGCTCACTCCCGACTCGTTTACAAAATATGACTTCAAGATCAATCCACCATTTATAACAGTGTACAGTACAGTATCAGGATTGAGCAGGTTTGTATATTAAAGCTAGCTAGGCAGGGAAACAGGAGCTACCAATTAGCTTCAGGTACCAAGCTCACTGTGCATCACCAATAAGAGCAATACAATTAGCCCCTTGTTTATGGGATCTTCTCTGGGCTGAATACAATCATCTAGTGTTAACCAAATAAAATATTAAAAGTGGCATCCCCATACTGCAAAGGTAAAGCAAGTCTTTAGTCTTTTCTAGAGTAAGAGAGAAAGAAACAAACCTCAAATTCCCTTGGATATGTAGTCCTAAGGTGACGACCTAATAATTGCCAAGTACAGTAGCATATATTTAGGTCTTCTAAGCAGGATGGCATCACTAAACCTGCTATCCAGGATATCCAATAAGGACCAAGTTAAAACATCCCAACCATGAAAGTGTAGGGGCACCAAGTCTTGACGCCACTAAATCCACAACTCAACTAACGTTCATAGTCTGACAGTTACCCAACCAATAACCAGGACTGCACATGGACCAGCCAGTGTTCCCTGTGATTGAACTTCTGAACAATAAAAAGGAGCTTTGATACACTAGCCACTCTAATTCCAAGCAGTTCAAATCGGACCTTGTAATGTAAGGAATTGAGGAAATATCTTGGTCTCTTTGATTGGTTGTACCTAGGTGGAGAAGCTAGGAAATTCTAAATGTGTTTAAGTGGGGACATTACAGAGGGAATCCTTTACGTTAATATATCTAACAATGTATGAGGCAGGATCCTCAGTCACACCTCTGAAGGTTGAGGAGTGACTGACTCTGAAGGTTTCATCTTTATGATAAAATCTTTCACCCATTGTCAAAACCAAAAGTAAATAAAAATATGCAAATCATTGCCGAGCTGCAAAACCCTTCAGCTATCTTTATTTTCTTTATGCCAAGTGTCTCTTTTTGGAATCCAGCATGAAGATGAGGATAGACATTTAGGGGAGGTCCAGGAAGTCGTGGGTGGGGGAACATGGCAAGCACAGAGAGCCCACCCAGCTGGGGGTGTTTGGAGGGATGCTGTAAGCCCCTCCCCCCCCCCCCCTTTTTAATTTTTAATATGATCAATATCATGGGCATTTTGAGGCCATGTGCACTTGATAGTAGGAGATATTCTGAGGTCAATAGCTATTACTTTTTACTATACAAAAATGCCTGAGTATAATATTGCATTAAAGAAAAAATTATTGGAATTTCCTGATGAAAAGGGGGGTCCAGACCCTTAGGACCTCCACCTGGATCTTCCTCCTGCCACGAGTCATTTTTTTAATTTATTAATTTCTAGATCCTGGTGATACAAGCCAGAGCACTGGGACATGTCTTGCAAGCTACAGGGACTTGCTCAAGCCTGATGTATACATAATTAGAATTTTTGCATTATCTATTATGCATTATCTAATAAATTGTTATATTGTTTTACTGTGTTCAATCATCTACAAGTCACAAAGAACCTAGTTGTTTTATTCCAGAAATACAGTATTATGTATTGAACTGAATTAATATACAACATGAAACAGGCATTAATTCATTTTACAAAAACCATCATATAATGTAGTCATGTAAAATATCTTTATATATGATTTAAAGAGTAAAAACAACTTTGGTAGTCCATACAACATCTATATAAATAATTTAAAAGTGATATCAAAAGTTAAAAATTTTCACTATCTAATTACATGTTTTCTAGACTCACTTGAGTAATGAGGCACGAGGGCATGTTAATATATAAACTGTATCTCATACAGTCACAAAACTACACAGGTATTTATGTGTTCACTCAACTGACACAAGAGTCCATCATTATCTATATTTTTCTTCAGCAGTCAATGTCACACTTGACTCAAACACCACATGCAAATATGGCAATCATTTGTTTACCAGAAAAAATGGTTTATATTAACAAATTCTATGATGAAATTTAACATATCCAGTAATGATACATTACAGTACAGAGGAACGCTTTCTGCCGTGAGACAACAGTTGTGTAGACAGTCCACATCTGTGTACGGGTAACAATATTATTGGTTGTTTCACCCAGAAATGTGCTGTTATAATTGTCAACTGCAGACATCGCTACATAGTTATCAAAGTCATAAAAACTATCGGCACGTTACAAAAGACCGCAAACAATGAACATTTCATATGATTATCATTCTTGCATGGGGAAAAATACTCATTTATTTTATACAAACACAACCATACATTAATGCCACATTATGACAAATTCTTACATATTGGACAAAATTGGCATGTCAAAGATAATTATTATTATTTTTTAAATCCAATTGTTGCATGACATGTAACAAACAGATTTCCACATAAATAGATAATTTCATAACTGCTACACCCGGGGCTTTATATATTACGTATCTAATATATTACTTTTTTCAGGGTCATTAAGATTAATTTATCAAATTTAATGGTGCACATATTTTTTTAAAAGAATTATCATAGAATAACTCACTTACCCTCACAACCATGATGGCAATACTGTACAATATGACACTGATGGTTTATTATGGTGACAGTCTAGCTGACAGCCATCAACCTCACTCAGGTTGTTATTACAGTACTACCAGTTTCTGTCACTCACTGTCATTCATCTGCAGACTCTTCCTCCTGGCTAGAGGATGGCCACTGTCAAACAGATGAGACGTGGTTTACCGAAGTGGGCACAAGGAGGTAGCCCCCTTCCATGGCACCGTCAACAACATTATCGCCTTGATTACCGATGTGAACTTCAATACTGTTGCGCTGACGACATGTTGTTACTGGTACATTTGGCACACCATCGCTCTGAAAGGATATATAATACTATAGATGCTTGTGCTTAACTCAACGCAATGACATGAAAATACAGCATTACTGAAAGTTTGGGTACAACATTTCAATACTTATTCTGTACTGTTACAAACTCTGATCATAAAGTAGATTAGTATAAGCGTACAGTAGCAGTATACAGGTTGACAACCCTTTATCCGAAATTCCAAAAAACCGAAAAGCTCTAAAAACCGAAAGTTGTTTTTGTGGGCATTTTTTTAAACGGATTAGCCCACCCGGGCATAGATCACTGACCCACATCGGAGCCTGGGGGGCAAAAATGTAATAGTAATAATAATTATAATAATTATTCATAGTAAATAAAAATTTTAACAAAAAATATACCAAAATAAAATAATAATGATAACAATAATAATAATAATAATAATAATAATAATAATAATAATAATAAAATATAATAATAAAATTAATAATAATAATAATAATAACAATAATACTGTAATAATAAAATAATAATAATAATAATAATAATAAAGATATACAAGAATGAAAAAAAAGATCAAAAGTGAGAAACATGACCTAGACCTATGAATTGTTATTATTATTATAATTTTTATTATATTTTCGCCACCCAGGCCCCAATGTGGGTCAGTGACTTGTGCCCGGGTAGGCTAAAAAAAAAAAAAATAATAATAAAAAAAAATAACAAATAAAAAACCATTCTGAAAACCGAAAAATTCCGAAATCCGAAATGCCTCTGGCCCCAAGGATTTTGGATAAGGGATTGTCAACCTGTAGTAGTACAATACAGAAGATGTAGTTGAGCATAAAGTTTTGGAAAGCACAAAATGATAACTACAGTTAATTATATAGTTAATGTCAACTCTGAGGCCCATGAAGACCTCAGAAAAAATGACAATGAAATAAAAAATGGCAAAATAATTCAACACAACAAAGAAAAAAAATACAGTGCAATATAACAATGTGAATCAATCCTAACCCATGAAATAAAATCATATCAAGCCTTAATATCAAAGAATCCCAAGTAATTCTGGGTGAGCCTATGCTAAAGCAGTACAAAATGTGGATGCCATTGACTCCTATACTGCTCCAATGAGGATATACAGTACATTGGTTAAAAGTCATGGATAACTTAATTTCCCAGTCATTAGGGAGTCCTTTCACAATAGACAGTAGAGGATGTGATGTACAAATATATAATGTACGACAATATAACTTAAAAAGTTTGGTACCCAAACATTTTCTCTTTGAATTCTGTTATTTCGAGGAACAGAAAATCCTCAGAAATTCAGAAGGAGCAAAAATTTTCGATGGACTGAGAGTTGTTCACAGATTCATCATTTAAAGGCTGGTGATGAACAAAAACTCACTTACAGTGATGTGGGTAAATAGTAGTTGGTACAGGAAAGGTAGGTAGGTGTGTGTGTGTGTGTGTGTGTGTGTGTGTGTGTGTGTGTGTGTGTGTGTGTGTGTGTGTGTGATAATAATAACAATAAACGGTTTATTAATAGAGTTGCAGCCGGTGGCTGAAAATATACATTTACAGGGCTGTACAGTACATAAATCAGGAGTTGTTTATTATTTTAGCAACAGATGGGATGGTGCTGTTCTTATATCTATCGGTGCGGGCTCATGTGTGTGTATGTGTGTTGTTAAGCATTTATTTACATATTTAGGTTAACTTATTGGTAAATGGTTGGTTAAGTTACTCCACCAATACATTACTGCACTGTGGCAGACATTGAGATCTCCCATTTCTTTGTCTACAATATCCTCATATGTTGTGCATTTTGGTGCTTCCTTACATTTTCTTTAACCCTTATTTCTTAATACAGATAAAACTTAAAGCACAGAATTATGATTTATCTTTGGTAATAAGAGTTGAATTCTTGAAATGGTTGAAATATGATACTGCAAAGGTCATAAACAAAGCTCAGGGAACTACTGCTCTGACACAAGAAATTTCCTTCACAGATGAACTACGACAGCAAAATACTGTACAGTACAGTGAAAACTGCCAGAAGTCGATCATTATAACAGAATATTTTGTTACTGTACAGGTAGTTACAGGTAATACACAAACTTTTCATATCAACACAGCTGTTACAATAAGCGTAAGTAGATTTAGAGGAACTTTTGAAGCAAAAAACTAGAAGTCGACAAATTCAAAGGGAACCATTCCTGAAACCAATACAGTACAGCATAACTTACAGTTATGCCCTACCATAATAGTAACAAATGGGGTGTTATGGATGTTTGGAAGTTTGGCTGTGGAGGCCTTCAGATATACAGACTTCTACTATACTGTATTCAAACAGCATTGTCACTCACATCAAAGCATTTAAATAAGTGCAGGAGCTGTTTGGTAACATTTCAAGGTAATTATAAGCTGCTGTGCCTTCCTTGTGTGTAATTATTAGTAATGGTTGCTGTGCCTCATGTATGTGTAGTTATTAGTAATGGTTGCTGTGCCTCGTGTATGTGTAGTTATTAGTAATGGTTGCTGTGCCTCATGTATGTGTAGTTATTAGTAATGGTTGCTGTGCCTCATGTATGTGTAGTTATTAGTAATGGTTGCTGTGCCTCATGTATGTGTAGTTATTAGTAATGGTTGCTGTGCCTCATGTATGTGTAGTTATTAGTAATGGTTGCTGTGCCTCATGTATGTGTAGTTATTAGTAATGGTTGCTGTGCCTCATGTATATGTGGTTATTAGTAATGGTTGCTGTGCCTCATGTATGTGTAGTTATTAGTAATGGTTGCTGTGCCTCATGTATGTGTGGTTATTAGTAATGGTTGCTGTGCCTCATGTATGTGTAGTTATTAGTAATGGTTGCTGTGCCTCATGTATGTGTAGTTATTAGTAATGGTTGCTGTGCCTCATGTATGTGTAGTTATTAGTAATGGTTGCTGTGCCTCATGTATGTGTGGTTATTAGTAATGGTTGCTGTGCCTCATGTATGTGTAGTTATTAGTAATGGCTACAGTACCACATACAAAACTTTGGTAATTTTTTTAAAGACTCCACTGTACTGTACTGTACCTTTGCATTAATTTTGAAAACAAATCAAAACACGTTTTGATCTCGTATGCTGAAACGATGGGTAAAAGGTCGTCGTCATTTTCACTATAAAATGCCTTTTCTCTGGAAACTGAAAACTAATGTGTTTAAAACATAAAGATAGTCTATATTATTGAGGAAATGTATACAAGGGTGATTTAAAACTTACAGGCACAAAAATTTTTATGTTTAAATATTATGTATGTATTAAATTCAGGGTTGGCAAAAACCATTTTTAAAGAAAAAACATTTATTTAAAAACTACTATGCAGGTTTAATAAGTTTTAAGTATTTTAAGCCATCTCTATAACTTTTTAATATGCTTTTAATTATAAATATTACATTCAGGAAGATTTAACAATCGTTTATACTGTTTTCCATCTTAAAAAAATCCCTGTACAAAGACCAAATTTGGAAAAACACTAGCTGTGACCAGTCACCCAGACTCATCCTACATGCTTAAAGGCAAAAATTAAGTTTAAGTTCATCTTAATGCATGAGAGAACTATTCTACTTTTACAGTTGGAAGTTTTAAAGAATTTATTTGAGTACAGTTGGAGAGAGAGAGATGGACAGCAGCAACTTGGCTCCCCTGGACCTATGTAATACATGATCTGGACACATTAGAATCAGAGGCTCAGAGCCTAACCATAAACAGAAGCTGTCACCAGTTATACTGAACACTGGCAAATTGGATCCCTTATAATCAGAATTTGAGATGTGTACAGCCCTGAAAGAAAGCTAATTATCACCAGTGTATAATAGTTCACCTCCATGTCTATATTGAACAACCATGGGGACATAACCCATCCTGCCTAACACCCACATTTATTTCAAATGTTTGACTTTCTTTCCCATGTATTCTTACTGTTGCCCTGTTGTTCTCATACAATGCTTTTACAGGTACTTCACTTAATAGCCTTCCACCCACCCCATACATTTATAATGCCTCCCACAATGCTTTTCTTTTCACCCTATTATATGCCTTTGCAAAATCTACTATAAATCATTAAAACCATCTGTAAATATTAAAACCAACAAAAACTTGTTAAACCCAAGAAAAAGGGCATAAATTAAAAAAACAAAATTAACTGGTTTAAATCAGCCAACCCTGCCTTGTTGTAAGTTACCGTGTTACGTAATTGATGAAATCAGGTGGAATTCTGTGACCAATGACTTTATATGATCCCACATTAAAAGACATACATTTGTATTAAGAATTTCGATGATCCACTAGTAACCGCTTCAGATGTAAATATAAGAGTGAGGCCACAGTCTGCGACAAGTAAGTCTCTTTCACTGCTAAGGTTGGATATCTGTGATCCCAGAGAACCTGAGGGTTACATCAATCAGGGATCAAAATAAGGTGTGGGGGTTTCATGTGTTTTCCATACAGTGAAACTTCCATCTAACGAACTATATAGATAAGAAAGTCAATTGTATCGAGGGTCCGTTAGATGTGGAACCCTCATCAAACAGATTTGGAAAGAGAAGTCCATTATATGGAGGGTTCACTGTATACAGTACTTTTGTGAAACATCCATGTTTTTGGGGACACAAGACAGCTTGTAATGGGTACATAAGTGAAGGATGATCATCGTTGATTATCACTGTGAGATCAGGAGCTCCTGGTAGCCACTTGTAATTCAGTAATGTCCCCCCCCCCCCTCCCATGATCCAACACACCCAAAGTGTTTCATTGCTTACACATTGCCATCTTGTATTATGAACAAAGTAAAAGAGTGATATGGATTTTCCCCACCACCCACACACCATATTATTTGTACAAGGAACATTGTTTGAAATATTTTTCCAAATAAGAAATAAACTAACACCAACTTAAGGCATCTCAGTCTGAATATAATGTTAAATCACAACTTTCCCTGAGTGTGTTAACTCTGACACAATACTGTATATATGTACTGTAATTTGA